AGTGTTCTACAGTGGTTCTCAATTTTCTTTTTTGGATGATTATAAATGGTTGTTGTTCATCAAGATTAGAAAGATGGTCCGAGAAGCAGGTTTGGCAGGAAAAAATGATGACTTCTGGTTTGGACGTTTTTTAACATGAAGATCATGTGGATTGAAGATGCCCAAGAGGCAGAAGAGCGGGGAGAGCTGGAACAAAGGAGAGGGTTTGCAGCCAGCTTGGCAGACTTGAGAGTAGTCAGCATATAGAAAGTGATTGAAGAGGCATGGAAATAGGCAATAACACAAGATCAAGAGTTAGTCCCACTAAGGGTAGAGAGGCCAGCAGCTGTGAAGGAGCTGATCGGGCTCAGCAGAAGTGTGGGGTGTGGCCAGACCACTGAAATCAACCCTGTGGATGTGACTTTAGGTGAAGGGTCTTCCTACCTGCAAATACCATGCTATGATAATGACTCGATTGTTTGTTTGTTCCCCTTCAATTTTCTCAACTCTATGAAAGCGAGTGAACTTTGATCCTGATTTCCAGGACACCACATCTCACTTCATTGCTTCTTAGCTCTCTGGTCTCTCAACTTTGGCGGCGTCCTGTTTTTCCAAAAAGTGGTCTTCTCTAGCTAGGTCCCCTTTCCAGTGGATAATGTAGTCTCATCACTTTAAATCCCCTTCTACACCCACAACTCTCAAGATTGCATCATCAGCCCTATTCTCCCTTGACCTCCAAACATCTAACTGCTCTGACCTCCCAATTTTATCTCCCACCAACATCTCAACTTCAGTAGCTTCAAAGCCAAAGTCCATCCTTTCCTCTGCACCTGCTCCCTCCAATGTCTCCCATCTCAGGGACACATCTGTGTTCTAGTTTCTCAGGCTGCAAGCCTTATAGTCCTTTTGGCCTCTGCCTTTTATTTCACATTCTATATCTATCTACTTCCTGTTGAAATACAAGATGGCTACCAACACTGAGTGACTGGTTTATTAATACTACGTCCCAGTATATGATACAATAATATTACCTATACTTCTAAACTTTTTTTATTTAAAGAGAGTATGCCTTATACTGTAACCAAGGTTGGCCTGGAGCTCAGCTCAGTAGCTGAGGCTGACTTTGAACTCTTGGTAATCCTCCTGCCTTAGCATCTTGAGTACTGGTATTACAGATGTAAGTCATTACACCTGACTGTTTCTTAGCTTTATTATCACCCTCTATAATGAGAGTCCAACCACTCCCCATCACCTCTACTGCACTGTTCTAAGCCACCGTCACCTCTTGCTCAGACTGCTATAGTCTCTTCCTCCTGGGGAGTCTCCCTGCTTCTCTTGTTTTCTTACAATCTAATGTTGGTGAATCTTTCCTGTGGAGACATAGACAAATATATACCTCCTCCACATAAGGTACCAACAACTGACCAAAGTAACCATTCCCCTCAGGTCTAGCTTGGTGAACCAGTGTGTTCATTGGGCTTGCTTACAGGATCATGGATGAGGGGTTACTTAAAGGAGCATAGTTACTTACAAAACAGCTACTTCATTGAACAGTCTCACTCTAGAATGGATGACAGCTTCCCCATAGCTGCATAGATGGAGTTCCCCCTTCAATTAAGCTTCCACCCACTATATATTAGCACCTCCCCAGCCCCTCATTCTATGAGGGAACATCAGTAAGCCACATTTTGAAGGTCTCTTGTGGATAATCACAGCTGCTCTGATTAAGACTGTAATGGCTGTTAGCTCAGAGAACCGCAGTCCATAATATCTAGTTTCTGCACAACGGGTTGATCCTCATGAAATTTAAAACTCAAGCCAGATCACATCACTCCTGAGTTCAAAATCTCTCGTCTCACTTAGAATAAAGTCTGAAGGCTTTGCCACAGCCAGCAAGGCCCTGCCTGGTGTTCTGCTTCCTCTCTGACCTCTGAGCTCCCTTCTCCACCTCACTCACTGTGGCAAGCAAGTTCCTATCCTAAGGCTCTGCAGCTGTAGTCTGTATTCATGCAAGAACCACCCCCCACCAGATATCCATCAGCTGACTTCGTTGGTGTGTGGAGTTGTTTCCTCCTTTACCAGACTGTAGGATGGGGAGAAGGAGTTTATGTTATGTTCACTGGCGCATTCCCAGCCCCTCCAGAGCAGGTCTGGTACAGACAAGGTGTTCAAGCTTTATTTACTGAATGAATGAAAAAAGGATATCTGAGTGCACACTATTGAATCAGAAGTACATATTTTACCATAAAGTTAAGCATAATTACACATAAGAAGGTCTGATACCAACGATGACCCTTCAAGAGGAATTGCTGAATGTCTTTCAGCAAGTAACGTTTTAAAGGAAATTTTCTCCATTGTGGATAAAGTGAGCTTTCACATGTTCCTGAATCCTCCCAATTACCTGCTATTTTTTCTGAGTGTCTCATGATGGTGAAGACTGACATGCCCACGTCCTCCTATCAGGATCTTTATTCTCTGTCTCTGCCTTTATACTAGTCAGTTACAGAGGTGTTATGAAATAAACCACTGAATTGGCTTGGCCTCCCCCAACCCCCAGTGTGCTGTGCACTTTGTCTGCCAGTCAATACTTACTAGTGAAATAAATTCTCTTTGGGGCTCTTCAGCTCTGCTCCTTACTTAGAAAGGAGGGATTCTGCTCCCTGGGAGTCAGTATTCTGTGGAAAAGTAGCTTCTGCATTAGGGTACAAACTGAACCCCTCCCCAAGAGTTTCTGGATAGTGCCATTTTCCCTTCTCTCCCACTCCTCCATCATGCAAGCTGAGGGATTCGCTGCTTAACCACTTCAGACTATTGACTTGGGAACCATCGCAGAGTAAGATGATAACCAGAGGGCTCCAGAGTTCTGGAACTTGGCAATGGAGCTGTGTAATATAATGATGGGACCCAGCAGAGTCTTTAGATCACAGAGGCTGAATGCTGAGGCAAATATTACTGTTTTAAAATCAGCAATATGTTATCTTTAAAATTCTATCTTTGTAATGAGGAAATAGTGGTATCCTCTTCACAGTAACTCAGTTTTAAGAAAATTACGCAAGCTTGCATTAATAAGAAAATCTAGGAGAAATGGTTCAGCAGTAAATGGTACATACTGCTTTTGCAGAGGACCAGAATTCAGTTCCCAGCACCCATGTCAGGTAGCTCCCAACCACCTATAACTCCAGCCCCAGGAGATCTTGTGCCCTCTTCTGGCCTCCATGGGTACTGCACTCACACGCACAAAACCACAGATACACATATACACATAATTTAGAAAATAAAATATTTTTAAAATATTTTATTTTTTAAATTTTATTGTATAAGTACATTGCCTACATGTAAATGCACCCATGTCGTGCAATACCCATGGAGGTGAGAAGAGGGTGTCAGATCCCCTGGAACTAGAGTTATGGATGGTTGTTAGCTGCCATGTGGGTACTGGGAATCAAACCTGGGTCCTCTGTAAGAACAGCCAGTGCTCTTAACCACTGAGCCATCTCTCTAGCCTCCAAATAAAATATTTTTTAAAACCCATTACTAAGGAATTAGGAGCAATAAATTACTTCCTTTAATTCATCTGATGAGCATGTATTCTAAGCATCTACCATGACTAAGGTAGCTTCTAACTCTACACCAGATTTTTCCTTATATTTCAATAAAAATCTTGAGTAAACCAGATGTGGTAGTGCATATCTACAATCCCAGCACTCAGAGGCTAAGACAAGAGGTTTGCAGATCCCAGGCTAGCCTGTGCTATATTATATACCAAAACCTGTCTCAAAACCAAACAAAAAGTTGAGCTATTATAATAAGAAAAAAAAGGTTTTAAAGAGTAAATCTTCATCAAAGTGTATCATTTAAAGGGACAAAGAGATGTCAAGGGTGCTACCTCACAATGCAGAAAGGAAGAATGTTACAATTTAGAACTTCATATTGAGTAATAGAGAAAACTATATGGAGATGAATGTCAACAACATCCAATTTCCCTCTTCATCTTCAATCCAATCTCCAAACTCTGAAGGCGCCACTCGGCAGGTAGCAGTAGGTCTCTTTTTGAACATAACACAAGAACAAACAGAAAGGAAGAGGCCTTCACAGGCTGCAGGTGGTGGTGGTAGGGGGAGGGTAAGTCAGAAGTGTGGAGGGTTAGAACCAAGGGAGGTGAGGGGGACAAAACTCAGGGAGTGGATGAGCCTTAAAATGATGGAAAGCCACCAAACATGGTGGCGCACGTCTTTAATCCCAGCACTTGGGAGACAGAGGCAAGCGGATTTCTTGTGAGATCAAGGCCAGCCTGGTCTACATAGTGAGTTCAAGGCCAGTTGTGGCTACAGGGAGGCCCGATAAGTTACAAAAAACAAAACAACAAAAAAGAAATCCTTCAGTCCAAACTGCTCAAAAGAATGTAAAGTCCTGGGAATGTAAGGAAGGGTCTTTGCTCTTATGACAGTGGCAAATCTGAGGTTAGAACTCCTGGTCATTGACAGGTTAGAGCTTGGTGCTAATAGAACTGGCTAGAGCTCTCTCTCTCTCTCTCTCTCTCTCTCTCTCTCTCTCTCTCTCTGTCAAGATTTGTCTCATGAGCTAGGAGTAATTGGATGGCCTGGGTCCACTAAGAAGCAATTTCTCTGAAATTTTAACATTGTGATTGATGAGGGTGAATTTAAATAACTTTTTTTCCAGTGGCCTTTATGCTTCTCTAGATTAAGGGATATACTAAGAGAAAATGAGGGCTTTCCAAAAAGCCAATAGCAACTTGCTACTGATGCTACTGATGATCCATGTCTAGGATTATATTTTCTTATGTGAATGTGAACATTCAGGGGGATATTGTTAAAACTGAAACCAAACATAAAGAAGCAAAAGTGATTCAGTGAACCTCCTGCATTTCAGTTCAAGTCTGACAGCAAGAAAACAAAACCGCATAATCTGAGGTTCACGCCCAGCACTGTGCAGCCCCGAGTCTGCTAGTTCCTGTGTGGTTTGCCTACAGACTGCAAGCTCGCTAGGGGTAGCTTGGAGGGAGAGCAAGAGGCACGGAGGAGGAAGCTGTATTGATGGATTTGTGGGCTTGCACCCTGCTTCAGCGTGGCACTCGGAAGGCAGCACGAGGCAGACCTGTGCACTGAAATGCAGTCGTTTTGACGTTCAAATTCATCTTCCTTCCTGTAAGAGAGGATTCTAATAACTCGGTGTCAAAGCCAAGACATAGACTCAACCTCTTCACTTCCAACAGGTATGTCACGTAGCATGGGCACACACCTTCTAGAGACTTTGAGCACTTTTGTGAGTCTGTTCTCTATGAGTCAAATCTAATTAAAGCAAGTCCCATGGGCTCTCTAAATATCGCTTCTAGTGCTTCAGTCCATCAGCCTATGTCTCTTGATCCAGGTTATTATGTTTGTAGTGGTAGGATTTGACTTCTGTCAAAGGAACTGGAAAAACTTGGTCCTTACTCAGCTCATAGCAAAAACAAAACAAACAAGCCTCTACTAATTGATTTCAGAGCTATCTCAGGAAGACTTTGGATGTTGGGGATCACAGAAGTAAAATCCCCCCATTCACTTCGGTCAGCATTTAATCCAAACTGGGGGATGGGAGGTGGCAGAGGACTAAGCAACAATGAATGAAGCCAGGACTCTGAGGTCTCTGGATTTCTCTTCTGCTCAATTTCTCAGATCGCTCAAATTGCTAGCTTTGGTAGTATTTGTTCATTTTACAAAGAACACTAGTTTGGGCTCTTTTAATAAAGGAAAACTTCACTATCTTTGCCTCTTTGTTAATAGTTGGGTGCTATCTGCAGAACTCTCTCGAGTTTAGGTGTCCAGTCTAAGCATAGCTGCTCTGTGCTCCTGTCCCCATCTGCTCCTGATCATGAGGAGGGAACACAAAGCTACATCAAGTTTTCACTAACTTAAAAAATGACTGTATCTACGAACCTCAGATTAGGCATTATTAATACGGCATATGTAACTTAATTTATATATTACTGAAAATATACACCCCTAGACAAATTAAGAGAGGGCATACTTAAGATCTAAAAATCCAATGGGGAGAACATATCATGAGCTTGTGTTGTCTGAGGATGGGAAATTTCAGTGGAAGAATCTTCCCTGGAGGTACATTCGTTGTAAACTGTTCATTCTTTAGTGGGTCCCTTTTTTCTCTCTTTTTTTCTTTCTTATTTCTGGTTTCAGAAAGAACATTTAGTTTAATAATTCAATATAATATATAAAACTTTAAATTCACTCTTAACTAAATAAAGAATGCCTTTAAATTTCAAGTTTTTAAAAATTCTGATTTGTATCCTTTTAGGGAAGGTTTTTTGTGCTTTTTCTTTTTTTTTCTTTTGTAAAAGAGGCAGCCCTGTATCACTGAAGATCACTACTCTATTAGATTCAACCTTGAGTGTCTCCCACGTAGTAAACTGTAATCTTATTCTTCCTAAATTGTAATAGCTTTCATCTTTTTAAAAATGATTTTGCTGAAGCAGAGGAGGAGGTGATGGATCTATTCAATATGAAGAAATATCCTTGTTGCTAATGCAATATATTTTTGAATATCTTCCATGTCTTAGGCCTTCATAAAAAAGTCCCTTCTTTTTTATTTCAATTGTTATATGTCTACCACGTAGGGACATCATAAGAATAAAGAGTTAATATAGAAGCCAAGTACCCCAGGAAAAGGCACTGTGAAAATGCAAGACAATAACATTATTTCTCTGAGTTTTGATCATTTTCTTCCCCATCTCTATATAAAATGCACCTCTCTTGCTGCCCAAAGTCATCTCTTTTAGAACTGTTGCCTTCTGGAAGATCTGACAATGATCCTAATTTCCACATATTTATTGATTCCCAGAGAATAACATCTGCTGGTGTTCGTGGCTTAAAGAGCTCATGCCTGAACTCGAGCAGAACTTGCCTCTTTTCCTGAATCAAGAATAGTCTGTAATTGTTCACAAATATGTCATTAAGTGTGATTCCATCAGGGTTTCTTAACTAAGTAACAGTTGCTGTTAGACTGATTCAAGGGACAGAATCTTCATGCCTGCATCCCATGAAACAAGCTCAAAAGTTGTTCAAGGAGGTCAACCAGATGACTCAGTGGATAAAGCACCTGCTACCATGCCTGATGACCTGAGTTTGATCTCCAGGACTCACACAGTGGAAAGAGAGAACTGATTCCTTCATGCTGTTCTCTAATTTCTACACATGTGCAATGGCACATAGTACACACACACACACACACACACACACACACACACACCACAATAAATAAATGTAAAAAAATTAAGAAGTAAAAAATGTTCACGAATAATCATGAGCTTAGATATTTGAATCAAAGGATGGAGTGGACTGATCCCCACGTTGTCCAACTGAAGTGTTCGCCCAGCACATCTCTGTCTGTAAAGGAGACACACGAGTCTCTATTTTTCTTTGTTCGTTACTGTATTTTTATGCCATTTGACAATTTTCAAGAAAACACAGCTTCTTTTAACAAGCATTTCACAAACATTTATTGAACATCTGCTTTGTGCCCGTACTTGTGCCATACTCAGTGCTAGGGTGCTGAATTCTCTGACAATGTTCACACTGGGTTTCAATAGACTTGAACCAATAGAAATTCAGTAAATGCTTCAGGGTAGTTTTTAAGTACGCATACATTGTCCAAAGCTTAAGAGAATTTCATGAAACTCCCATAATATACAGAATGGTAATAAAAACCTTACATGCTCTTCAAAGATGTTAGATATAAAGAAAGTGAATGAGGTATACAGATCAAAGCTAGGTGGTGGCACATACCTGTAATCCCAGCACTTGGGAGGCAGAGGAAGGAGGATCAGTACAAGCTCAAGGCCAGCCTGTTCTACACAGTGAGTTCCACCTAGTATCAACATAGCAAGACCCTGTTTCAGAAACCAAAAAGCACAAATTTAAAGAGCACTTGAAATGTTGGACAATGAATACTTCTATATTCCCCATGGAGATTCAGTAACAGAAATTTTGTCATATTTTCTCTATCTAGCTATATGTATTTCTTTCTGAATTACTTGTAAGTTGTGGA